TATCGCGCCGACGACGCCGGGCTCAAAGCCGGCAAGTTTCGTGTGGAAACGAAGCCGGACGGCCTGAGCCCTGCGGCGCGCGCCCTATGCCTCGACGTCGACCAGGTGCGCGCCTCGTCAGACGATGCTTTCTATCGCGAGCTGCTGTCGCGCTGGTCCGACGAGGATTTCAAGGATCATTTTCAGCGGCAGGTCGCGCCAGACCAGCACTTCTTCAATACGTTCGGCTATTTCGGTTCGTTCTCCGACGAGGACTACAATCAGGGTTTGCGCAAGCTGAAGGCCCGCGCGATCGCGGAGAACGTGCAGTACATCGAGACCATGCTGCGCGGCGCGCCCGCGCCGGACAACGCGGTGCTCTCGAAGGCAATCGACGAGCTGCCGCCCGATGCCGGCCCGGAACGGATAGACGCCGCATTGGCTCCCTTCCACGAATTCCTGGCCAGGGACGAGGCCACGGCGAAGGGCGTCGCCGCCTATCTCGACAGCGTCGATGCCGCCGCGACCGGTATCGACGACGGTGACTTCAAGATGCGCTACCAGGCCTATGTGGTTCGCGGTGAGCAGCCCGCCAAGGTGTTCGCCGGCCTGTACTCGGCATTCGCTGCGGTCGAGGCCCGCCGGCGCGTGGTGGCGGTCAACATCGTCGGCCCCGAAGACGGCATCGTGTCGATGCGCGACTACAGCCTGCACATGCGCATGTTCGCCTTCCTGAAGCGGAAACATCCCGGTGTACGGCTTGCCTTGCACGCGGGCGAACTCACCCTCGGCATGGTGCCGCCGGAAGGCCTGCAGAACCACGTCCGCGAGGCGGTCGAGATCGCCCGCGCCGATCGCATCGGACACGGCGTCGACATCGTCTATGAGCGCGATGCCCCCGGTTTGCTGCGCCTCATGCGCGAGCGCGGCGTGGCGGTCGAAATCAACCTGACGAGCAACGCATTCATCCTGGGGGTGAAGAACGAATCGCATCCGGTGCAAGTCTACCGCCAGGCCGGCGTGCCCTTCGTGATCTCCACCGACGATGCCGGCGTCTCGCGCAATAACCTGTCCGGCGAATACATGCTCTATGTCAGCCCGCTACAAGCCCGGTTTACGACGCCCTCAAGGAGAC